GACTTGGAAGCTTTCAGTACTAAAAAGAAACATCTCTGTTTCTGTATGTATAAACCAAAATGACAGTGATACAAGTTCAAACTTGGAAGACTCAGAAACCTATTTCCATACATACAGAAAGGACTGAAAATAATCACTGGAGTTAATCTGAAGGTAGAGTCTAGCTATCTGATTCTGCCTACTACATCAGCTGGTGTCACAATTCTGGCCCTAACTATTCTTCATCACATGCCCGTATAATTCTAGTACTATTGGCACAGCAATAAATAAAATATTGTACTATTACCACTACGAGACACCTTTCCCTCACACCGAAGAGATTTCTTACCCCTACCCACCCACCAAACAAATACACTTTCAATGCATGACTCTTGTGAGAACATGATTACAGAAGTCATCACCATCATCTACAATCATATTTTCACCTGTTCATGTGGTGTACACCTGTGGGTTCTTGGCAATACACTTCACTGAGGTGTGGGAAATTTCGGGTTCAGAACGAGCCCTGTCATCTTTCCTCTCTTAAGCAAATATGCCACGCAATCCCAAAACCTGTGTGAATGCTAAGGCCTCTTATAATATTGTCTTATTTATAAATATTTTACCTTTTTAAGTGCACAAAATACTGATGTAAATCCCTTGAACATATACACAAGAGTGAGAACACCAATATATATATAAAAAGTAATTCAAAGATCTTGAAGATGCTTTTATATTGCGACCTAATGTGCAAGCAGTAGACCACCCCACCACAGGTAAGAAATGAGAAATTTTGAGGGCTATTGAACACTGAATTTTCACAGCTGAACAGTATAAAGTTATTTAGCAGTGTTCAATAGCCTTCAAACTCTCTTCTGCCGGTGGGTTACAGTGGTCCAGTAGAAAAAGACTGAAACAAAAACAGTGCAATACCGGTTGGACCAAGATTTTTTCAGTATTTTTTAAAAACTCTTTTAAAGTTCACATCATTTTATGTGTTTTTAAAACCATACAGAGTTCTGCAGGTGCCACACACTATTAATCAGACAGCATAGAAAGAACATCTATATAAAAGCAGATTTTAGCCTATAAAGATACTACTAACAATACTACAGGTGTATACATGTATTAAAAAACAAACAAACAAAAAATTAAAACCTGCTGCTTCAGGGACACCAGCTTCTAAGTCCAACCCAGTTCTTTATGAATTTTACTACTCTCAAATGGCATATGTAAGATATTGGGGGCTTTTATTCAATTATTTGCCATTAGCAAAACTAACACCTCAACAGCTCGATAAGATATGGGATTCATTTTATTGTCATGAATATTGACTTTTACAGGGCTTTTTAAAAGGGGATCTAAGAGTTGGTATTTGTTTACTAAGTGTTCAAAAATAAGCATTTGAATATCCCAATGGGAAACACAAGACAGGTTCCAGCGTAATAATGAGAGCCACTTATTGTATATGAAATTTTCTGCGTAAGCAGAAAGTTGGTCAGTTTTTTCCATTTATGCTTGCATATTTCAGCTTTTACCCATTCCCCTAGCATGGATGTTTCATTGATGGCTGAGGGTAACACTTCAAAAATGAACTAGCTAAACAAACTTCCCAGCAGCACTTGACAGAGCTACACCTATTCTTCCCCATTTCCAAAGCAGTACAGAATTAATTACCAGTTCTATGGATCTATTGTAAGTATAATAGACTAAAGAGCTATCACAGACACATTTATTGTAAAAGCACAATCCCAAGAGTGTCTAGTAGAGGGCCAAAACGATTAACACAAATGCTTTGTCAGATCAAAGATAAAACCTGCACCGCCCAATTGAGGAATGAATTAGAACAGTGGGTTATCTTTCAAATTAACCAGGGCAGTTAGTGAGGAAAATTTCATGAAAGTGTAATTCTTAGCCTTTGTGAATCCACACAGCAGGCATTCTGCCAGCTGACAAGATGATGAAATTTTCATGCTTAAAAAAGCCCTCTTCATTTCCCAATTTAGATTAGCTAGCGTTTCTCTCTCTTTTCATCTATTTGCTCTTCTGAAGCAGAATTAAAAAAAAAAAAGCACACAACAGGATCAATCTCTCATAGAATAAATGCATTTCTGAGAAGAAATAAAATCTTTTCATGTCATTTTAAAATATATTTACATTTAAGAGAAAGATTATCAAAATTGATATTGTTAATACCATTAAGAAATCTGTAAATACTGGAGCAATGGTAGATATGTTTTGGGAGTCAAATATAAAACGTTTCAATGATTAATGGCAAAAAAAGATTGCAGAAGCAGGTATTTTCATATAAAGACAAGTAATTTACAAAAACAATGGGACTGTAGCAGGCTCACAAAATTCTATTTACGCACTTAGATTTGCATCTTTTTAAAGGAATGTATTATATCATCATTGTATTTATTTATTTAACACAGTTTCATGTGCCAAAAAGGGCAAGTAGATTTTCTACTTTTAGATTTTATGGCGCTTCTCCCTGCCCTAAATTTATACTGCCACATATAAAAGCATTTCACTAGACGAAAGAAAAAAACCAAGCAACATCTTGAACACTTATACACTTAAAAAAGAATGTGATTCAAAGCTCACTGAAAAAAATGTACACTTATTCATCTCAGTGAGATGTGGATCAGGCTGAAAGGCTCTTGATAGGGCTGTCTTCATAAAAGGCAGCTCATTATTTACAGGTTAAAAAACACATTTTCACATTTTATGTTTTTGTATTGTGTGCCATTTGACGAATATATAAACAAAATATCTAAATTTTTTTAATGGAGTGACAATATATTTGACCCTTACAAATTGGTATTCCTGTGCCTTTTAGATGCAATTACTACAATGGAAGATTGTTTAATAAGAGGCTGAAAGTTTCATTAAATGTTTTGTTCAGACAGGTCTTTGCCATAATACTTCTGGGTGTGTCTGTATAGCTTATAGGATTATATATATTAGTGCAAACACCCATTTGATGAATTTCAACTCCAGCTGTTATACAGTCACTACAAGTACTGGATGAAAGGAATAAACTAAAAGTCTCAGCATATGATTTTCCAGGAGCTAACAAGACAAAAAGTTTACTTCCCCAACTCTATGAATAGCCCTTTTGTAAAAAGAAACTTAATGTGCAATCTGGAAATTAATCTCACATTTCCAGAGTCTGAATGTATTCCACAGTCAAAAATAGTTTTAAACCCTATTGCAATTACATGGTTTAAAAGTAAATTTTACTACTAAAAAACCCTGAAGCTTTTACTTACACGGACAAATAATTTTCTTTTTAATTATCTTAATTATCCAACATACCATGTAGTAAGATACTTAATAGATTTATGTAGAGCAAATTACAATGTTCGATATTCAAACACTACAGTTTGGTTCGTAGCTTGGTCTTAAAAGAAGACAAAACAACTAACCAAAATAAAAACAGAACAGCATAAAACATTATATCACTTTTTATTCTTATCAGCAGTAAGAATTTCTCCTGCCCTTAAAGGCACCATTCTTCACAGAAGTTTACTACTGCATATCTTCTGCACGTGTTTTCAAATACTTTATATGCCTGACATTACTTAGCACGTGGCACTGTCTATTATCATTATGAGTCGGTGTAAATATATTACTTAGACCCATTACGTAGTAACACTTTAATAAAATAATGATTTGGGAGATAGTTGGACTTCGCAATAAAATAACATGAGATCTCACATTTTGGTGACTTCACCTGTCCAAGTCACCTTTAACTTCAATGGAAAGGAGCAATCTATCTCTACCAATTTAAATAGCCTTAGAAAGTTTTGTGCTCCTTTTGATGCAAAGACCTTCAAAAGAAGTATTTTTAGCTCCAGAAATCATTATGCTTTAAGAAGAGAGTTTAGAAAACATTTACCTATAACTGCAGTAAGAACGAGTACAGAAGAAAGATAACACAAAATGTACACTTTAATACGCTTAGTATTAAACCACAATAATAATTCTTAGTATTGTAGCTGCTGTTTGCAAAAGAATTCTGTAATACTTAAGAAAACACACAACAAATTAGGTACATTGTTCAAATTTGGCACAGGCCAAATTTTCAAAACCAACTTACTTTTTTGGGTGTATCAAAAATTATGAGCACACAAAGATTATTAATGTCTTCAAAATTGATGTCCATCCTGCAGCTGTGTAAGCAGGCAATGCTGGACAATCAAAACAAGCAGGCAGGCAATAGCATGAGACGCTCCATGAAAATTTGACCAAAATAGCTAGGTGCCAAGTCACAAAATATGATGCTTCTAGCATATTAGAAATCCAAAACATATTGATATAAGTTAAAAAGCATGGTGGGTTTTGTCCTAATGTTGGACTGTAAGAAGAAGATAGGAATTTTAAATTTTTACCTACAATATCATACAAAGCCAACCACTACCACCAGCACTTTGGATTTCTTGCACTACCCCTCAAAAAAAAAAAAATTACATCAATTAATTAACTACCCATCTTTCTCCTCCTTTTTTCCCTTCCCAATCATTATTAAGATTCATAGTATTTCCCTTCATACAGTCCTTCAAAGAATTTTTACAGAGCTATATTTGGGTTTCCTTTTCACAATATAAGCCAATATATATAGCCAATTTGAGTTGAAGAAAGAGAATCATTTCAATTACATGAGAAACTGATATCTACATATTTGATAGGCTTCACAGATTTTCCTAAAATTGAGATAATGCACTCTGGCTAAAAGTCTGGAAAACAGAGAGCTACTGCATCTGTAATAATGCTGACACACAGAGTTACAAAAATGTAAATATATCTAACCATCTTGAGGCTGAACTAAGAAAACAAACATTCTAAATTAATTTTTTAATTCACTGATTTGTTTTATTTTCAGAAAGCTGGGGGTTGATGCTGCCTGCTACTACCTTACACTATACAAAAAAAAAAAAGTAACATGACAGTCACTAAAAACGCAGCACTACTTCAAAAACTTATTTCACATGGCAGAGAATTTTCTGCATACTTACACTGTAGTACTTTCTAAGGTAGCGTCTAATATCCAAGAGTAACTTGTTGTCCATTTGAACCACATAGCTGAAAGGAGGCTCTTCACAGTCTGTCTTGCTGCACCTTTGCAAGCTGGGTTCAATAAATCGCCCCTGAAAACAGAAGTGTAAAATCAGCATCATTATGACAGATGATGGAAGCAGAAGTTACCACATGAGTTTAGACATAATACATATATTTTTAAAAGCAATGGTCTTGAAGGGCCCATAATATCTGGGCCTTCTTTCTTCCCATCATGGTTGGCCACACCCATATGGGAAAACTCCAGGGCAGAGATATTTTAATTCTGTTCTTAAGGAAAGCCCTTTTAGAGAACAGAACACTAAGTTAATAATTCATAAAGAGATGCTGAGTAAAAAAAAAAAAAAAAAAGGTCTGTGCACAAATCATGCTCCCCCATCTTTACCCCAAAAATCCCAGGTTCACTGCTTTATCAGAGACAAACTTCAGCCTCAGCCCACTGATCAGAACTTTGAAATCAACCTTACAGATACTAAATATGAAATTACCAATAGGGCTGTCAAGACATACCGCATTAAAGAAAAATCACATTATCATCTTTTATCTTCTCCAAGTTCAAAGAACAGCTCTTACACTTTTGCACCATCTCATTCCCTCATTTTCAAAACCTTCTGAACACCTGATATTAAAATTTCAGGACCTGGAAGTGTTGTGTGAACAGCTAAAATTAAGTTTGTGGAATTCTCACTAATATAACTCCAGTATGGTAGGCTGGAAAGTCATAGAGCTTTTAGAAAACTTTCTTTCAAGGTAAGACTTAGCTGTTGTGAGCCATCTTGGCTAAACTCCCACTCACAACACTTATTAATTCCAGGTGAAATAGAGGGGACTTTTGGCTTGGTTTCAGGATTTCTTCTGTTGTTTGGTGGTGGGGATATATGTTTTTTAAGGAGTTTAACATCCACTCCTCTCCAGTTAGCCCATCTGCAACTTGTCAAGTCTACATGCAATTAACTGTCTTATTTACAGCTGCAATGAACAAAAGTCAAGGATGCACAAAGTATCACTCGATTTGTATGTCTTTCCCTCTTACATGCTTCCAAAGACCGCTTTATTTTGATTCAAAAAATGCAAAACATCTGCTGTTTGTCCAAATTAACTTAAAATAATTACTTTTAATTTAGATAAAAGATTTATTTGCTTTCAGTTTCAAGGTTCTCACTGCTCTGAAGCTCGCTAATTTGCCGATGACTAATACATACATAACATGCTGTAGAGTTAAATACTTGGCCCTACTTCAAGTTGTGATACAAGGTCAGAGATACGTTTTTGGCAGAACTTCTCAACAAGAATGTACCCCCGTGACTTTTTATTCAATTCACAGAGACAGAAGGAAAGATAACACAGAAAAACCTTACTGTCAAGAAGGGAGGTGGGATATAGCAAGATAAACACAAGTTTAAAAAGCACTTTGTTCCAATTAATATGATTTAGGATAAGAAACTGCCATTGCCTTACAAAGATTTTATTAAATAGAGAACTGGAAGTTACTAAGGTGTTAAGATAAGGATTCCTTTAAAAAGTAGCAGCAACAATCATTCACGACTGTGGGCAAACAGATTAATGAAGCCAGATAATCTCACATGTTCTGCAAGACAACGCAGCTGAAATGCAAAAATGGGAAAAATATTTCAGAACTATCCTATCAGCAATTATCTGCTCCAAAGCTATAAATAGCAGGACTTAAACAATATGGTATCTTCTACATCACAGGAATCCTATCTGAAAAGCTGTTCTCTCTACAAGCATTTTTCTCTCTCACCAATGAACAGAAACGAAACAAACAAAAAAACCAACTAACCGAACCATCAAAGACATTGTCATAAATATTTTCTGTTCCACATTTGAGGCAGCAAAACTTGAATCTTTCACAATCCCTATATTTCTCCTCATCAGTGAGCTGAGCTGGGCCACCAACCAAGGCATCATTCTCATCTTTATGGTAATGGTGATGGACTCTGAATTGGGAGGGATCCAGTCCTATTAATAAGAAACAAAAATTTCAAAAGACTAAGAGGTCAACCATGCAAGCAGGCTTATTTTTCATATGCTTGGTGAAGCAGATTCAAAAGAAAGTTACAAAATGTAAATTCAGAAGCTGAAAAATCTCTCCTTAGCAAAACTTCCTCTATAAAACATAAATACATTCTACAATTTTTAACCATGAATAAAGGTTCACGAGACATGAAGAAATCATCTTACTTATCTTCTTACACAAGATTGCTTTATAAATAAAACAAGCACACTGCATTATCATGGGAGTATGCAAGAAAACATTTTGTTTCTGAGGAAACCACTCCTAACGGATAGCTTTATTGTTATTTTCTCCTTAAGTTACATTGAAAATATTTCAATAAAAATGTGCATCGTTATTAAGAAACAGTCTTTAAATCAAAATGGCACCATTAAAACCAAAAGCAGAGAATAAAAACCCCATTAAAGAAACGCGGGTGCACTGCTATTACCAACTCCTTCAAGTCCGTACACAACTGCCAACTCTGATTTCAATGCAGTGGTCGATTTCATTTTGGCTCAGTGGTTAACAGCATGGAGGTTTCAATCTAATGCAGTGGTTAAAATTCAGCAGCAGCATTTAAAACCGCAGCGCTGGAGACAAAGTGCTTTATTTTTGATTGCCAGAACTCAAGATTTTAAACAAATAAATACACAAAAGAGATCCCAGAAATACTGATTCAACCACAAATAAGTAAATAAGCAAGCAAGCACGAAGTTCACTGTTCTAGGAATAGGACTGCCAAAGTAAACTTAATAAAAATCCTCAAGTTTTGTCATCCTTTGTCATGTGCAACATTTTAAAAGTCCATGCATCTCATTTACAGGGGGTTTTTTGTTAACTTTAGGAAAAAACACATGTTGGGAAAAAAAAACTTAATCAAATGAGCACATAGGAGAAAACCTTCAGAAAACTATGGCTCATTTTAGTAGTAAAACAAAAAGATCAGAGAAGCACTTTAAAAAATATTTGTAAAGACATTAAACCAAATAACAGATTACCATGTATTAAAGCATATCGTATTAAAAAAAATCAGTAAAAATGTAGTAATTCCTATAAGAAATGTAACAAAGATTACAAATAGAAAGTGAAGCTTCATCTTATGATAACTGTACCGTGACACTTGAAGACAATGGTTAGGAACAATATTCAGTTAAACTACATAAATATTATTGCATTTATAAAACAGCTGTGTTATACAGGCAGCTATAGATTGTCCTTACATAAAAGATTTGATATATCTGACTTTAATACCACTATTCTGAATTTTTATGTTGCAGTCTTAAATTCAAGCACAAGGAAAAGAATCTATTGGCAAATAAGTTTATTTGGTTCTTGATAGAATATAGGTTTCACTAAAATTTATTCATCTTCCCAATTTTGTCAAAAGAAAAAATGTCAATGCATAAGTAACAATTCACCTCCAGAAGGTTTCTAAACTTTTAATACAGTTCTCCACTATTTATTTAAAGAAAATGCATACAAAGCAAAATACCCTCTAATAGCATATTTTACACTTTAATACACATGGTATCCCCCAAAAAGACTGTAGGAGGCTTTCTTTCTGTTTTGTTTTTTTTTTTTTTTTTTTTTTTTTTTTTTTAATAAAAGGGTTGGCAATGTATCTGCAGCAGACACATAGTAGATAAAAGGTTTAGAAAGGAAACTGGAGTTCAGTAGTCAGATTTTGCAAAATATCAAGCATGCAATAGGTTGGATCTAAGTAATGGTGAAAACAAAAATTCTCAGTTTACTCTGAGTTCCGAAGTGGAATGAAAAAAAAATCATTCCAACTTTCTGATACAGATACACATTACAGTTCAGCTAGAAATCTTTGGTTGTTTCCAAAATGGCAAATATGGAGGAAAGTAGCTCACTAAAAGATAAAGGAGACAAATTCTGACCTTCAGACAACTACAATTTTCCAACATTGAGTCAAAAACAGTGACAGTAAATATCGGTCATTTAATATTAATTTAACGGAAAAAAATCATTGTGATAATTTAAATCACACCTATCTCTGAACTTTCTTAGCTGTTTTGGCTGAAAGAAACAACAAAAAAAAATATTGCACTGAAGCAAGCATACATATAAGTTTTGGTGTGCAAACAGCCACAGTGAAATAAAAAGAACTACAAATCAGGCTTTTAAAGAACATGCCTACCTTAATTATCTAGTGGGATTGGGAACTATTTTATCTATTATCTCCTTTCAGGAATAGTTAGTTGGTTCAGTTAATCCATTTCAGCACCCTAACTGGTATCCTCTCAGCCCAGGTCAAATTGGTCACATTATTTCACGTGGTACACAAAACAGGGGCTATCAATTGGTTGGTGGAAAAAAAATAATATCTGGTTTTGGTGATTTTTAAATTAATAAGATGAGACTAATCAGTGAACTTTAAACTTTTTTTTTTTTTTTTTTTTTTTTTTTTTAACCCTCATCACCTCAAGAAAAAATAAAAATCAAAGGGACTTTGAATTTCTCTGACAGGAAAAACTCTTCAGGGCTATCATTAAATTACCTGCACTGCAGGTAAGCTTTATCCCCTCACCAAACGACAAGGCTGGATGCAGGACAGAGCACTGCAACATTACAAACGTGCTGATGAAAGCCGTGTGACCAAACTAATTAACACAACTAAGTTCGGGGGCTTGTTCCTGAATTATTTAATAGAATTATTAAAACCTTCACTAACAGGCAAGCAAAGCGGTTCACTCAAGAACCTGAAAACACGGTCAGAGACTTTTACCAAAGGCAGTATTTTAACAACAACATTTCTGCGATGGCTTGTGCGCTTCCTTCCCCCGCACTCCCGAGGGCACGGGGGCGCGGCGGCCGCCGGGCAGCCGTGTGGGGGCCGGGGGCTGAGCCCGGGGCTGCTAACGGGGTCTGTCTGTTCCCGGGGGCCGTTCCGGGGGCCGTTCCCGGGGGCCGCATTCCAGCCGCAGGTGCCCGGGGCCGGGAGTTCCCCCGCACCTTTCCCCAGGGGCCCCTCGCGGGAGGCCCGGAATCGGCAGCCGGTGCTGCCACCCCGCGGCCGGCGCCGCGCACTGCAGCGGGGCCCGCGGGCCGGGGCCGCCCGCCCGCCCGGCCGGGCTGTTGGCTTATTCATTCACATCGGTACTGCTGCTTTTATTCATTCATCTTAGCGCTGCTTCTTTTATTCATTCATATTTTCACTCTTTCCTTTATTCATTCAGAGCACCCAACGCGCTTTGACGGTTCTCAAGTCCTGAGCAGGTCTGGAGCATTTCAGAACACCCAGCCAGACCACAAACAGCAAAGTTCACAGGCTCCAGGGCTGGTTATCACATTGTCATGAAGGTTCGTCATGACTTTAATTTTATTTTCATCACTGTCCTTTCACTTCACTCCCAATGTGAACAAAACAACAAAAAAGTCAAAACCCGAGGAAAATTCTGCATGCCACAAGGACAGCATCCATCCTGGTTTCTGTGTGGAACATCTGTCTGAGCAGCTGCTACACACCTAAAGATACCTAAACGATTCTCTAATAATAACTCTTTTAAAAGACATAAAAAAGCCAATATATTTGGTGCTAGTGGATTTCCTTACAAGAAGCAGTAACACACAGACACCATGTCAAAGCAGGGAGCAGTACTCCTAATGACAAGCCTCATCAGGACCCAGTAATGACTCCCTAAAATCAGACAGCCTTCCTAAAAAATGCCCAGTGGCAAGCGATCTGCAGAGCACCAGTGTGCACATCCCTCTGCAAGGCAGCAGAACACACCTCTTTCAGAACATCATGACACTGTCTACGACTGCAGTCATCAACTTCCATCACTTGAAGCAAATAATATTAAGTAGTAACAGCTACAAAAGTCCTATGATTATACAACTTTGCTTCCATAATTTCTGCTTATTTCTGACAACACAAATACAAAATGTAACTTTTCTGTGAGACAAGGAGCAGTACTTATGTGTTAACAAAAAACCCTTATTTGAAATACAGTAAGGAAATTGCTGTGCCATAGAGTTCTTCCAGTTTTAAAGCTAGATATCTTAAGGATGAAGTAAGGTCTCCAAGATTTATTAAATTATATAACTGATTAGATTGCACACTTTATTTAGTTTTACAAACTCAGATAATCCTCATCTTGTCACTGCATTTCCTCAGAAACTTCAAGACAAAGAGTGAATGCAGGAGTATGCTTATGAGGTTCTCGTTTTTGGGAACAATGAACTTCAATCTCTCAAACACTGGACAGACCTACAATACCCCGAAACAAAAGGTGGCTTTCAACTTGATTCCATAGTGAATAAATATGATGTTAAGGGGTTCTCTGCAGTTTTTAAGTTGCATTATTTGCTCCTGTTCTTCAGTGTCTAAAATAATTTAGAATTATTTGCTTTGAGCACAGGCAGAACAAATAACTTTTCAGCACTTTGCGAGCCAAGCTTCCCTATCAGAGTTCAATTTTATCTACTCAGACTAGCAGGGTGACAGGAAACATTCACCTAATAAATAAATATGCATTATTGTAGATTCTGTTAAACATGCAGCCAAGATATTTTTTCTACAACCACTCTCCCTGTACAGACACATATTCTACATAACACAATAAATCTGATCAGTGGAGGAAGACACACAATGAGAATGCAACGGGGTTTTGGTCCATAGATGTGATGCTTATATATCCTTCAGAACAGAAAAATGTGCCTATTTGCAACAAGATGGGAAAAACAATGGGAATTTGGATGTATATCATAATAAAAATACCAAGTAAAAAAGCCCAACTTAGCATCACAGATCAGTAAACAGTTTCAACATTTGCTTGTTTTAACAAGTTGGACTCGAGTATCTTGTACTCTTTTATATCTTACAAAGGATTTTTGATTTCTATGAAAGAAAACCACTTGACTATGCCTACAGTACCATTAAAAAAACCTGGAAGGTAACTTCAGCTTGCAATGACTTACATACAACTCTGATCAAGTGCTGTATATGAAAACCTAAACAGATCAGAAGCCTTGAAAAAGACCTGACTTTACCCTCAAGCTCAATTTAAGCCTTCCCAAGAAAACAAAGCTAGGGAAGGTGATAAAATTTAGACTGTACAAGCAAGGTCAAACTGAACACACTTCAGATCTAAGACTGTAATAGATACATACAGGTTTTCAGACTGACAATTGTGGACTATTAATAAACTCTCAGCTGCATGATGCTATTACAGACCATAAAAGAAATCTTCATCTGGAACGTACTACAGTGCAAAAAGCAGCACAGGCATTTGCAAACAGTAGGTGCTATCAAGTGGCACAGAGTCCTTAAGATCTGGGTAGTTAATTTAGGTGTCTGAAGTGAGCCAGTCTGTTCTAAAAAACTAACCTGTTGTGAATAAGAGCTCTGAATTTGAGCTTAACTCTACAAGACTAATAATCTTTGCCAGATAAAATAAACCAGCTTCAGAAATCATCCCTGTCTTTTACCTAAATAAAGCCCAATTTTAAACCTATTTTAAACCACTTCAACCTAACCAACAGTGCTTGACCTTTTCAGTCAGGCATACCACACAGTCGACTTTGACATCAAGGGAAAGTTGGATACCAAGGCCTTGCCACATAATAAAAAGGATGATTTGTGTGGCCAGCCTGCATGTGTGGAGCAGGGCTGACACCTCCTCAAAGCACGAGAGCTGTTGAGGACACATAGCAACATCAAATGCCTCCAAGAAAGACCTTTGCTGACTCAGAAAAAGCAGAATTTCTGTCTTCAACCCCTTCTCAACAATCCAGAAATGGAGATGGAAAAAGCTGCATGTTACAAGGATTGTCTTGGGAGATTAAGATCCTTCATGGCTATCATCCCCCTTCCTGAGAAACAGCAAGGCAGGACCTTTCTTACACACATTCTGAGTACAATCTCCAAGATAATCAGCTGTTACTAAGGGAGCTACAGAGATGCAGTTCCACAGGTGAAGGGTCCTGAGGCAACCTGCTACCAGGTAATTTTTAATTGGCCAAATCCTGAATCTTGGCTCCTTTACCTAAGTACAAAATGCTGATGACTCTTCCTTTGAGTGTTCTGAAATTCTGAACAAAGTAATTTCTGCAGGTCTGAACTTCTTGTAGACACAGGCATAGAACAAACAGATTATTAAACTGACACAGTGCAACTCTAAGAAGCACTCCTAGAGAAAAGGCAGTCTTGTCAAGAATTTCATAGCCAGCAAAACTAAAAACCTTTTCATGTCCTTGAGCAACAGTTTGAAAAATAATGAACTACATGTGAGTTACAAGTCACAAAATTTCTGTTTATCAAGTAGATCAGTCAAGTCTGTCTAATAATTTTTGGGGAGGAAACTACACTAAAAGGAATACACACACAGAGCACAGCTTTTTCAAGAAGAGAGACACAATAGAACTGTTAACAAATTTTCAACCTTTCAGTTTTTCTAGGTAAGAAGCCTAGGGAATAGATAACAACGAGGCAATCACAGTTGGGCAGAAAAATCTCTAATTCTAATTATTAGACAAAAGAGCAATTCCCTGTTGCTCATTTGAATTAAAACTGTTGATTTCATGGATCACTAACATTAGTCAAATTTTTTTGAGAGCGCTTCTTGGTTTTGGGACCACTTAATTCCTTCGCATGAAGCAGTTAAAATTGTTACTAAGATTTGACGTTTCTATTAGCCACTAAGCCAGTTCTAGCAATCTTCACTAACATCCTAGTAAAAATTTGTATTCTTTCATTATAATTATAACTGTCTTTTTCCCTAGGAAGATGCCAGAGATGCCAGCAGTTCTCTCTGGAGAAATGTTAGTTCAGATGCATACCCCAGAACTCATTTAAGAAAGACATGCGATAGTACTGTCATTTCAGAAAAGTAGATTTTTGCAACTCTGAAAAAGGATTGCAAGATTAAATTACTGTTAGTGATCACCTTCTGAAAAAACACTACTCTGCAGAAGTCATAAATACATTTAGAGTCCATGCTGCTTTCTACAGGCTGTGTAACACAAGCTATTGTTCAATGTAAAAAGATTGATCTGGGGAAGCATTTCTAGCATTTCTGTTGAGAAACATACATTAAAGCCTCACTTTGGATCTTGTAATTCTTCAAATAAACTGAATTTAGAATACTTACCTAACCATGTTGCAATAAGAACAGAATCAATTCCCTCTATGGGCTCACATATTCTAGCAACTACTGGATGTATTTGCTGTGACAGGTAGTACTGAGTATCAATTTTAAGATTTTCTTGCTTTTTTAACTGTTCTGGAGCATATGCTCGCTGGCTGGCACTGAGATCTGATCCATCCTAAGGAGACACATACAAAACAAAGTGTGAAAAAAGTCTATCCAAAGGATTATGCTTCAAATATTATGCATTATTTTAATGCAAAATTGTTACACAGTCTTTTGGTTTATTTATTATGCATCCAATACAAATCCAGCAGTAGTAAAAAAACTGCATTGCTGATGCTGGCATCAACCAGCAAGTTCAAGAATGCAAAACCAGCTTGTATTATTGCAGCCTACACGTGCAAATCAGTACGAGTAGACAGAGTAAACAGTCCCATCTGTCAATTCTGAAATGCACAATGAAAACACATTGTAACCATCAGCCCAGTTAAAAATACACAGAGGGCATGCATTTTGGATTCACTTTGTACTAAACCAGCATTATCATTTTGCATAACAAGCAAATTCTAAGTCGTGGACATCAAAACTATATCTGTTTTGCTAGGAAATTTATATTCTTTAATTCTATAAAGAAACTAATAGAATGAATGGTCAGAGAATGGACCATCACTCATTGGCATATGAATAAGTAACAGTGTTAATTTGAAAGAGGAAATTCTAGAATTTTCTGAAATACTGAAATAAATGTATGGTGACATCTCAAGCCAAGAGAAAAACACCACTTAGAGGTTAAAATATACATTACATTCTTTTCCAACTTGAAAGAGGAAGATAAGGTGAAAAATAATTCAATTTAGGAAGGCAATAACTAAATTGGAAACAATATACATGGAGGAACTAAGTACCACATCTAAGAGGACAATACTCTTGGAAAATCTAACTCATTTAAATCTGTGGAATCATAATCCCACTCCTCTACTGCACTAGGAAATTTCATTTTTAATGTATGTCAAAAATCTTAGAGCAAAATTTAAAGCAGCATTTTAGCAAGATTCTTTAAACATCTTTAGGAATGGGGCAGGGTGGGGGGAAGTACCACAATTGTTTTGGGGTTTTTTTTGCTAAGTACAGTCTTTTTTTTTTATTTTTTTTTTTCTCAGCAAAATAGAATTAATGCATTAATACATGACACTTTCATTTTTTCATTTAAGACGAGCTACTGGTTTCAATAGGGTCAGCAACCATGGACTGAAAACCCATCACTAATAAAGACAGACTGCAAGCCATTGGTCCCTCCTACTCCTTTCAGACAACTTAGTATTCAGAACAAAATTAATTTAGGACTATTCAGCTCATCCAGCTGCTTTGCAAAAATAATTACAATGCAACTCCTTCAGCTCCCTTCTTTCAACAAGTATATTCTTCTCTTGTATTGTGCCACTGCTCAGCCGCACCCGTGGCTCAGTTCTCAAAAGTCTTGGCAGCTTTGGGATGCCAGGCTAAGAACTCTCAATTAAGTCAAATACAGTATCTTTCAGTTTGAAAATAATGAAGGAGCTGAAATAGTCACATTGTCAAGCTGATCAGCTTGGCCCAAGAGATCCTTTGGTCCATCTAATTCAACCTATGCTGTTTTATTTTAATTAGCAGAACCAAAGTGGAGTATATGTTTGTATATATTTGTGACATAGTGACAAGCATTTATAGGATAAACACCTGAAACCAGAAAGTGGCTCAGATTTCCCAGAGGTACCACCAGATCCAATGACTATGAATTGAAGAGACACAGGTTGAAACTGGAAATAACAGTGACACTATTTAACCAACAACAACAATTAGCTTTCCATGAATGAAAGGTTCTTCATCACCAGAACTTTCTTCTGCTTAAAACGAAGACTAGGCATTTTCTTTAAAGTAAATTCTAGTTCCAAACATGAATGAATTCAGGGAGATTTTACCAGTCACTATATGGAAATAGCTGCTGAGCTGATCACAATGCTCTATAAAAGTAAATTTGGTACAGTAAATCGACAACTTTAAAATATAAGACTACCTCACCAGAAAGAAATGCTAAAACATATATTCCCAGGAACTGAGCTGGTTTTCTTTGCCATATCTCAAAACAATACCTAGTATTTAGCTATAAAGAAGGACATTTTTACCTGACAAATGATATATGACACTGTGTCTCCTGCCTTCACCTTTCGGCCTCCATGAGAGTTTATCCACATGGCAACATGCACATGTGGCAAGGTTTTTTTGTCAGGATAATCCTGGGGATCTTTTGTCAATGCCTAAAATATCAAAGGGGAAAACAGAAACATAACTATGAGAAAAATCTGTTACTTCAGTGATGGACAACTCACAACTTTAAAAGACAAGATTACATAGCAGCTATCTTCATCCTTCTACTATTCTCAAGTTCATCTGAAACACAAAGTAAGATTAAAAAAATTGTAACAAACATATTTGCCAAATGTTAAGCCCTAGGCACCAGTTCTTCAAGTTTTATAAATATTATTATTAATAAAATAAAAGGATGTTTTTACAATTACCATCTGAAAAATACATTAGCATTATGATCATAATGCAATTGTTTTAAATTAAACTAAATTAAAGATGACAATATTATGCAAAATACAAAAACAGTGCCAGAGATTTCCCTCTTACTCCTGTTTCATTAAGGTCATACAGTAAATCTGAATATTGTGTAGTTAAGTGTATATAACAAGCTCTGTAGCAAGAGGATACAACTGAATGGAAATATTTCTGTGTATCTCACACTACTGAGATTTCACAATAAGTTTTTCCTTTAAATAAAATAAAATGCTACATTTAAAATATTTACTGTCATCCCAATTCTTAGAAACAACTTCTACACTTGACTTAATGGTTAAATACATTTTTTCTGAAGCAGTAAAATAGAGGAACTTTAGGAATTTAACGTGAACATTCTGCTATATATAACTTTTACTGGGACACTAAGTGCTCTTAAAAGACTTTCATCAGAAAATTCAGAACATTCTTTTTTCAAGTCAACCATAAAATTCAGTGATTTCTCTATACTCATATGACAACCTGAACACATTTCTTAACTGATTAACACAGTCTTTCAGAGCGGGCAGATGTCTGAAAGAAAGAGACTTTGGATGGACAGTTGATAGATCTATTCAAAGCATAAGAGGGGCATGTAATACCCAATTCTGTGAAACACCTCCCCTAACAGGAAAGGGAAGTCTCTGAAGCTAAAAACACAGGTTTTATCATTGAGGATTCACCAGAAAAAAAACAACCAAACAAAAAACACAACACTGTTGCTAAAACTACAGTAGACAAAGCAGAGTATTTGACTTCTTGTTGCAGGAAAGTCTTGAATGAGGACTCAAAATTAATATTAACTCTGTTATATGGAGCTTTCTAGGGAAATAATATGAGCGTTTTCTAGAAAACAGATTATTTGATTCTTTTCCATTCATTCTTCAGTTTATGTATTTCAAGGCTAAAATATAAAGCAAGAGCTTAGGAGAAAACTCCTCCTGAAAGCATCAGGTCATTCTCACAGAATGAGCCTGGTAAATAGCAGGATGGGACAAGACACAAAGTTGTTATCCTGGAGCCTCCAGCCCCAGCAGGGTGTTTTCCCCTGATATTGTAGGAACTTCGCAGCACATCCTGAACTATTCAGTACCTAGTAACACTCCTGCTATTCCAAACCATAAGGATTAAAAATATTTCTGTCAGCAGTCAATATATTTAGGAAAAGTAAAGCTTTTCTAAGACAGAAAAGAGCTGCAAGATCACTTACCTTGTTTATTTCAAACTGATTTGCTGGGATCTGACCACTGACCACATTTTCTCCAATTTCTACAAGTCGCCTTTGAATATTTTCCACAATTATGTCTCGAGGCTGATCAGAAAGAATCTGACCAATTACATAGCTGCAAAAACAGTACAAAAATTAAGAAAAGCTTGGCACATGCAAAACCATTACAACAGACACAATCTTCTCTTCCCTCAGATTTTCTCTCGACATTAAAGAGCCCGAGGATGAAGTCTGATGAAAAATTTATTTTGCCAGTATCTTTTATGTTATGTTTTATTTATTTACTTATTTTACTAAAAGCAAATTATTGCAAATAGTTCTAATGCTAAATAGTGATTTGGAATGGTTGAGTGCAACTTTCTATTTTCTGCTGCCATATCATTTTTCCATTTATCATTCCATAGCAGGTATCTTAAGATGGGGGAGAAGGGAACATACCAAGTAAGCGAAGTCTTGCCTATTGCTGCAAAATGTGGTTGGAAGATGTGCCAGCTGCAGAAGAGTTAGTCACTAAAGAACACTCTCCAACATTTGTATAGCTTTAATTACTAATACATTCCTAACTTGGAAAAATTTGCTTCTATTATGATGCATCTTTTCTTAGAAAATGCAAGTCTTAAGAACAGTAAGCAAGTGTGTGGTGTATTTTTACAGATGTGAAAAGTATTCATTTTTGGATACATTTGGACCACGAGCTGTTTAATTTTTCAAGAGGCATTATACAATGAGTCAGCATCCAGATGACCACCTCTCCTCTCTCTAATTTTCTTTCAATGGTGCTAAATGTATTACTTCTACTGAATTAAAGCATTAAAATACCCTGTGCAATGACAATTAATAAACAGTCAATCCATTATCCATCATAATGAAGTATCAAAGGAGTCTCAAGGCAAAAGGAAAGAGAAGGAGTCTTGGAGAAAGGGATCACCTCCTCAGGCTGCACCCAGTGCACTTCTAGCTTTTTTAGAGGGTGCTGAAAGTGCTGACCACCAGCTTCTTCACCCATCTAGGAAATAAAACACCTGACCTAGAACCTACAATTTCAAATACTGACAGCATCTACCATCTTCACTAGATTTCAGTTCTAGTTTATTAAATGGTGTTTACAGCACTGTGACAACTCAAAAGCACAGCTTCCACAGCAGATGAAAAATCAGACAGTGAAATTAGGAGACATTTGGACTTGCACAGGTATAACCCGTTAACAACACCAGAAGGTAACCTTCATCATCTCCTACAAAGATCAGCTAGGTCCTAACACTGATGTTAGTTACAATCTGTGATTTTCAGGAACCACAGTATCAAATGTTTAGGACAGAGCAAAGAAGACCATGCCAAAGACACTTACTTTCCAGTCTCTTTAGCAAGATCACACCAGTCTCTCCGGACGATATCCAGCCCTTTTAGTTCTTGTTTAGTTACATATTTCCCATCTCCTGTTGGTTCCACAGTCAGAGCAGCGTATTTCTTCTTCTTTAACAATAGTAAGGACTTAAAAATTCCATCAATATCAATTTCCAACAATTTGTACAGCTTGTTCACTTCACTTTTGATCTGCAAATGCACCAACATTAAAAACAAATGCAATAATTTAACTATGGACAAATTCAACTTCCATATCTAAATGCACTGTTAAGTTTTAAAACAAGTTGCATTACACTGCATGTGTATACACATTTTAAGGACTGGTCAGATATAATTAATTAATTACACACTAGTAACAACGAGCTACTAAAATTAGGGTTCACCCACTGACTTTTCTAGTGTCTACAGCTTGGTACAACTAACTCCTTAACAAAATTAAGCAAGGCAGAGAAAGATGGGATTGAAGTGACCTTGGAGATAACTGACTCCAGCTCATTTTACTAGAACAGCTACTCCATCTAACCTCTCACATAAATTAAGCAAACAAGGGATTTCACAGCAGGGATCTACTTACTAGGCAAAGACAAGAGATGGTCACTTAGACAAAAAATGCAAATAGCCTTATAGAAAAGCTGTCTTGCTAAGGCACTTTTCTTTCTTCCCACTCTCACCGTAAACCAGGGAGGGGAGAAGAACTATGACTGCAGACCAGAGCTCTGTGTGTGCATGTTCAGGAAAAACAGGCAAGTTTCTTTTACCCTTCCTCACAACATGCCTACCTTTTCTATAGCCTGATTTCCTTGAGAGGAAAATGTGCTGTTTTTCTACACACAGGCTATGTTTTATCCACACACAAAAGCGTCAAAAGGCACTGATACATTGTCTTAATACAGTACAAAATATCTCTTACTTCTCTTCTAAGGGGACAGAACTGCAACAGCTCAAAACGTCATGAACCTTCAACAACAAACTTTGGTTCCATTTACCCACCTACCAGCTTGGCTAAAAGCTTCCCACTTGCTTTTTTCTTTTTTCTTTCTTCATATGTTATTACTTTACATTCTTCAACAGAGTATCTGCATAAGCCAGGTGTCCTGTTCTGTCTTCATGTTCTACTCTCTGCTTTCTTTCCTCTACAACTTACTTTCCCTATTGATTTTCAGTATCCATATTCACTCTTACTTACACTCTTACCACTAACTATGCACTATCATTTTCTCATGTCTCACTGAAGTTGGATAGGCATTAAAGTTCTTTTGCCATCTAGCAGACACCCTCACCAACAGGGCCTTCATAATAAAATCTCACTGGTTTCCTATCTAGCTTTAAACTCAGATCACCATTTTAACCAAAACCTTCCTTACAAACTTTCCATTTACGTGTATACATACATGTGTGCACTTAATTTTTTCTCACTTTAGTTCTGTTTTGCCTACTGCAGGAATTACCATTACTTTGATGTCCCCCGTACATTTTTAAGTTTTGAAGGACATCATGAGACAAAAACCATTTTGCTACGAGGTTCGTATTTTCTTTCTTAAAACAGACAAACAATTCCTCTGAACATTCTTCTGCGATTTAAATTTTCAGTTTTTCTTTTTTACAGCATACTAACCAAGTGCTCAAAACCCAGCAACAGCTCAGTACTGAATGTACTGGAGAATCTGATTCACAAGGATGCACAGAAAATGAGAAAAAAAACTTCTGCTAAGTATTGACTAAAAAGGGCATTGATATAAATAATGGAGGGTTAAGGGTAGGAGAGAACACACATTAGGTGGGGGAATTCCCAAAGAACGTTTATTGGACAGAATTTTCTCCAATAAAAAAACAAAATTAATCTCTTGGAGGAATGCTGCATTGCTGAAGACAACCCATAAATTCACACTTTACATCAGAACAGGGGAACACTCACTAACTGCTCTCACTGTAATTGTTTGCATTAAATCTGTGTGCCTTCCATACAGTCTACATTAAAGCAAAAGTACAATGAAAGCAATGTAAATATTCCTCACCTCCGAACATAAAACTTTGGGAATGAAATTATTATGCAGTGGAGCAGAGACAGTTCTTGAGAGTATTCCTCACCAAAACAGACAATTCTTTATCCTGATTTTTTTAATACAAATTACTCAAAACAAAGAAAATGTAAATGATCAAGTGCTTACAAAAAAAGCAACTGTCACTTTCTTCAGGAATAAACAAACAAACAAGAAACATGTGAAATGAGACAGATATGAATCACTTTTTTCTGCCACAGAAAGAATATTGAAAGCCACAATGTCTGCAATTTTGATGCTAGGTTTGATTGTGCTAGTTTACCGTGGTAAGTTTATTCACTTTTACAGTTCTTATATGTTGTACTTGATTTTAATCAAAACACATCCTTCTGTCCTTTTTTTTAATTTAAAAAAACCTCAATTGATACATAATACAGAAGTACAATGGATTTTAAAGAGCTTAATATTTTACTCTCATTAAGCAGCTGACAAGTTCAAACACATACACATACCTATTCTCTCAGAAAACCTGACTCGAATTCAGAAGTATTTAACCTATTATGCTTATCCTGACAGATTTCATAGAAGTTATTATTATTCAACTATCCTCTGTAATGTTTAGCCACCAAATGGGAGCACAGGGACAAAAATTAAACCAGAATGAAACCACACAGACACAACTGGAGATTAAACTTTCTTATACACTATTGTATATACACCTGAAATTATATATAATCTTGTATGTGGCAAACAAAAAAGAAAGACTGCTTTCTATTATGCAGCAGCCCTCCTGCTACTCAGGTATGACATCAAGATATTACCTCATTTTCTGTTCCTGAATGCAACTACTTCTAAATGTACCCACTAGCGTGAAGGTAGAAGTATTCTAATAAACTCTGGAATCACTCTCTGCCTTAATATTAAATTACTTTTGTTTAATACTCTACTGAATATGTTTATGTTTTCTTTAGGTTTTTTAGAGCTTCCACAGCTCTCATTTTCATCATAATTTCTTCCATAATTTCTTTCAAAAACAGCTTCTCTTACATATTTTCTTTAAGAAGTTCTGAAACATTTCTCGCTTTTTTTTCCACAATTTCAGAAAGCCACAAAATTTCCATATCATCGATGGCCAGCTCCTAATCAATCAGATCTCTTCTATATCTGGTATACCACGGAAACTAATATTTGAACTTACCATTGGAAATCTGATACTATATTAAGTGTCATACAAACTATGTAACTAAACAAAACTAAACTGAGAGACATCTCTCATGAAAAAAAAAAAGAAATCAGAACTGTTCATATTGTAATTGAAATTAACGTGGAGGACATAACCAACGTTTTGGTTATATTGAGATAATCTCCTGTTACCTTAGGATAGTAAAAAAAGCTTGTTATGCAATGCAATATCTCATTTAATCACTTTTGAAAATGCACACAATAGCTACACCTAAAAAAGGAGCATGCTGAGATTTTACTACTTCATAGGTTCTACATATTGTGAAGTTCTTCCTCATGGCATATTCCCTGCTTGTGCCATTGAATCCTCTCTTAATACCATCTGCTCCACTCAGAGTAACAACACAGACCTATGTAGAAATCTGAAAGAAGAAAACGTTCCTTACCTTATTTCCCAGCTTGAAGACCTCATCCAAATTGGTGCTATTAGTGTTTATCATAATGGAATCTGTGTCTCCGTAAATCACTTCAAGGTTCATCTAAATGAAAAAAAAGTTGCTTTGAAAAACAAAAAAGAACCACTCCATCTTCTACAAGTCCCACATTATTTTCAAGGTTCAAAAATATCATTATCTATATACTAACCCTTAAACATTAAAATGTATACCAGCAAGAAAATGTAAAATAAATTTTTACTGATAGGTCTGTACGTTTCATTAAAACCTATTTGAATTTAAAGAGAATAAAGAAACTTCAGCCATTGATATGTTAAAAAGACCATTGTCCAGTTGTGTACATAATATATATGTAAAATTTTACTAAATGAATATTAAAAAAATAAATCAGTGAACAAGTCTGATCTTGAGAAACAGCAAGAACTCTGATCAGAAATAACTTTGGACTGCTAAGACACAAGAAGATCACTTCCACAAGACTGCTGGACAAATTCAGACAAGGCAGTCAGCCGAAGTGTTTACAGGTAATACCATAACCACGTATCCCATCGCATTTGCAGCCATCACAATACTACTGGGGAAAAAAAAAGAGAAAAAATATTTCGATTCTCTATTTTAAACAAATCTGTGAAAGCATTGGCTAGTGGATGACAGCAACTGAGAATACCACAGTACTGTCCACATTAGGCTGCTCTTCTTCACTTCAGATTATGCAGATGGCTTCATATTTCCATCTTCCTTCTCCCATTTTATAATTTCTGCTAATCCAACCACCTGTGTTTTTCCTCCCCTGGGAAAGAGATCTTCCAGGAAATGCTCCTTTTGGAAAAGGATCTAGCTGCTTTGACCCACAAGTTTTATCTTCCCAGGTTGAACTACTGCACAATTACACCCAGAGATGAACACGAACATTTACTGAACCCCTTCTCTTTGACTGACCACTCTGCCCCTCCCTCACATCACTTCTGATTCTGATACTTCTAACAATTTAAATGCCCTGCTTGGAGAATACCGTATTCAAACACCAGCCACACTTCTGTACTACTTTGGATAATGGAGAAAATTCTAGACAAACTGAAGGACATAAAAAAGCCTGAGGTGCATATGAAAGGCACAGCAAGAAAAAAGGTGGAAAGAAAAATTGCCAACACCAGTAAACGTCACAACAACAAAAAACATTGGCAGATGCATCTAATTGCATAATATTAATTCGAAAAAAAATGAAAACCTGACATTTTCAGTAGTGGAAAATCAATGCAGCTGTAAAAACTACAACATGGCTATGTCCATGTTCAACTCCACAGAGTCAAAAAACCACCCCGTGACAGAGTTTAAAGGATGCCAAGAAATAAACCATAATAAACCACTAGAACACATGGTGTAACAGGTCTATGAGTAAACTCTAATTAGCACTGTTGCTAATTTGCTTGAAACAGTCCCACACAGGCTTCAAGCAGGGTCCAGATCATATCTGTGGTGGGAAAAGAAAAAAGCTATAATCCATCAGGAAGGATTACATTTGTAAACCAGGCATCCTAAGAAGTGATTTCAGGTCTGTTTGGGTTACAGTTCTCCTAGAATAAAAAATTTCACCAGGTGTGCTCTTTAAGCGTTGTTGTTTAATGAAAATGCTCAGCATTACCTTCTGCACCATCTCCTTGGTATGCATCAAAATCTGAAATTAAAAAAATAATCAAAGATTAGCGTATGATATAATTACAGGCTAACACATGCAAACATATCCATTAGGTTGCTAACTCCAAATGCTCTCACCTTTCAAAACAAAGCAAACCACATCTCTCCTGGCAACACAAAATCACCTCAATACTCCTATTACATGAGTAAATTCTTGTTTGACCTCGTATTAATGCTATTATTAACTCCCCTAAAACAAGATTAAAACAAATCTCAAAATTGCATGTGCATGCACACATTCTACCTTAGGAAAAAAAAAAAAAAGAACACTGAACCAAATGGCTTAAATACAACCTAATCAGCAAGTGCCAGAATTAAGTCTCTTTCAGTAATTTAGGTCAGTTGTCACCTTCATATCCATCATCTTATCTCTTGATGTCATTGGATTTTTTCCCAAAAACATCCTGTCTTATTCAGTCCAGCCTGGATGGTGCCCACTTAACAAGACTTAGTCAAAATGTTCATTACTCTTGTAAGGATCTCAAAATGGGTCAATAAGCAAACTCCTTGTGGAAACCAGAAATGGGACAAGGAGCTGGGATAAAGACAGGATACAGATCTTGAATCAGTGGGTGGACCCAGGCTTGTTCCTCAACCAAGAATGCATCCCAAGTTCCCCAAATGCTCTGAATAGCACCTCTCTGAACCTGAGAAATAGCTAAAGGGACCTCATGTGAGTAAGCTCCTGCTTCCATCTCTAATAGTGCTCAGCATAGTGGAGGGTGGGGAGAGCACCTTATTGGAAGCCACAGGTACAGATGTAGCACAGAAAAGGGACAATCAAATGTGCTTAATGAAAAAAATGTGCAGTTGCAGCAGGAGGACCAGCTTGGTGAATTCTGCACAGCTGCATGGGAACCAACATCTGCTCCATTCCTTCAGTCACTTGGCCACGGTTCCACTGTACTTCCCATTTCCTTCTTATAAACATCCTGGTCCTCTGGCACACAACTCCAGATTCCACTTTCCTGGTTTCAGTCCTTTTCATTGCCACTCAGCACAAACCTCAGTTTTCTTCAGCTAATCCTGCTAGTCATATGTATCTATACTTTTCTTGAGGATTAATCTGAACCACATGTGACAGCACTGATAGATCAGTCTGTCAGGTTCCCAAACAATTCAGAACTCTAAAGATAGTCGGGCAACACACTATCAACAGCTTATATCAAATTTAATAACCAAGTCTCACCTTTATCATTTTTCACATATTAAATTGCAATACTCCTTGGCCACATTTGCCAAAAGGTAGAATTAAGACTTGTAGTCGAGAAGCCAATGACAGAGAGCTGAGCAGTAGAAATCAGCAGGAATGAGGAAAGAAAAGGGACAAATGGGCAAGAGCTGTCCATTCTCAATGAAAGTAAGATCATGTTCAGGGAAATATTACTTTCATAAGGCCAAGGAGTCTATAATGAAGCCAAGAGTCTCGATTACTGTGATGCTGACTATGCTATCACAGCAAAAAATTCTGAAAGGTAATATCTCCACCTCTACACAACAGCACACAAACAGGATGACAACACTGTCATTCTTTTAACATTAATGGCAAGTTTCTATCATATTTCAGAACCTTTACACAACCACAGTGCAAGTATGATGTCTTCTGCCTGCAACTATGCCCTGAAAGCTGTATTCCCCTTAAGGCACTTGGACAGGTTCAGTTCCAAACTACGATGTAACCTCAACAGAGCTGAACTCATAATACATGTCCTTATCAGGGTTATTCCCCAAGCACATTTGGGAATCTGTGGATTTACACTCTCTGAGTCAAGTTCAAAATATCCAGCTGATTTAAAGACCATTCACTGGTGCTGCAAACTAGGCACTCAGACAATGTGATGCCTGAACTCTGCTCAAGTCCAAAACTGCAGAAACCTCAGCTGCCCTCAGTCTTCTTTATAGAACAGGAAAACGGTGAGCCCTAACTGCAGATTCCTGCTAGGCTCTACCTGTCACTGGAATCAGACATACACAATTCCATTTTAATTGGAAGTTTAAAGAGAAGGTATTCCACTCCTATTCATCTCCTAGTGAGTGATTCAGACATTCGACCCAACCACCTTTCTATGGAGTTTTGAAATTGTTCTAAAGATATATCACTGGTACATGATATCAAATTTCATATAAAGTAGTCAAAATTCTAACATTCTAATATTCACCACCCCACCATGCTTCCTCTCACTTATTAGCTAACTTCTACAGAGAAAGGTTATACCTCTCCCTTAGTACTCCAAAAGCAAACAGGAGTCTTTGAAACAAAATTGAAAAATTACATCAAAATGAAGAGTTTATACTGAAAAGAAAGGCCTATCAATTTTCCCTTAATAATCTCTGGCATTTTCTACTTTACTATCTGAAATAATTCTACTAATAATGAGAAAGATAACTTTAAAAAAAAAAAATACCCCCTAAAAAAAAAATTGTCTGGCTGTGCAAAAACCATTTCTCATTTATCCCTGAGGACAGCAGTGGGTGTAAGTAATCACAACAAGAGGGTCACAGACAAGTTGGCTTCATCAAGTGACTGGCATATGCTAGTGCCACCCGTTCTGACAGGAGATCACTTGTTAGTGCCAACAGCTACAAAACAGAAGGTTATAAAGTATTGCTAAATTCATTAATAAGGCAGTCAGTAGTTATCTGATTTCACAGCAACACCTGCATATTTATCCTCTCATTACCAACTGGATGATGGAATTTTTTCAAGCACATTTCAAAAATCTGCCAATTTCAAGTGTAGAAAAAAAATAAACTTTGTAGTTAATTTTTCCTTTAACAAAGTACAGCTGTTGAGAATAATTGTTCAAGATCTTACCCTGTAATGTCAACTGCAGCAGAACAAAGAGTATTTAATTAGCAAATCTATCCAGTAATTCAACACCTATTATATAAAATGCCTTCGTGATTTTATTCAGGATAATTTGCTAAGAGGGTTATTACTGACATTCAGATGAAATTTAAAATTCCTACGCAAGTCGAGTCATAATAGCAGTAATGATCCCCCCAATCAGGAGATACTGTGTCACACAAGGTTCTTTAGCAATGCAGCAGCCCATTTCCTGACTTCTTAATTCCTGGGCTCAGCTCAGTGAGAGCCCTTCATGCCAATATTTCAGTCAGCAATACATCCTTAATGGGACTCTATTAAAATACCTAGAATAAAAGTGACTTTTTTTTTTTTTTTTTTTTTTTTTTNTTTTTTTTTTTTTTTTTTTGGTTAAAGGGAATGACAGCTCTGCTATCATATCAATCCTGAGCAGTTTCTCAAAAATGCACAGCAGAGGAAGGGAGGTGGGAAGACAGAAGAAAGAAGGAAGAAAATAGGAAAAATGGTATTGGGTAGTTTCCTTTTGCAAATAATACTGCACTGCTTATGAGAGCTGGATTGTCTCCTACTCCAAGTAGGAAGAATTAATTGCCTGGCAACCCATCTGTACAGCCATGCCCTCTCCCCCCAGCAAACATATACTTCTAAAAACCTGTGAACTTCTCAGTACAGTGAACATCTGTGAAACTCAACTTTTTTCTTGTAAAAGCAAGACTAGCCACACACATTCTCTCACCCATGAACTGCAAATCAATATAAACTTAAAGACTATAATTGCAGACAAGCCCTCATCAAACTGCAAAATCCCCTGTTCTAATCCTACCCCAACTAACTAATTACTTAATTAAATGAGGTTGTGATTTAAGACAGGGAATGATTAAAAATAAATAAACATACAAAGAACAGCTTTACTATTATTTATTACATCAAGCATTTTTAAGGATTCCTTATTTAAAAGCCTCTGAAGTGTACCTTCTGATGAGAGGATGCTTCTGTGGACACAAGCTAAGATACAAGAGTTAAAAACCAATGAGACAGGATACAAAACTAATATGCTGATGCAAAGATTTCTCCTGTAAACACACATTTTCTGCTGCATCTTGGAGTCACAGATGTGAAAGAGCAGAAGGGAAGACTTAAGAGCAGACTGAATGAGTACAATCGTTACAAAAACATTGTACCAAAAAACACAAATAAACAAACCAGCCCAACCCACACCACTCCTTTTGCATTCACTGTGCACAAGGAGGAAAACAAGCAGCCTTAAGGCCCTGTACAAAACTGTATTTTTGGAAACTATCTGTAGTTACCTGATATATTTTTCCACCTCATTTATTTAACTTCTGCAATTATATAGTAAGAAAATAATTCTGTCACCTGCTTTAGTAATTTGTATTAGCTATTCCTTCCCATGGGACAGAGGAATAAATGAGCTGGAAAAACTGTGTTCCAGTAACACCACTCACTAATCTAAGTGTTTGTGAACCTCTGTATTTTTATAACCTATTCATTAGCTTTGATAGGAATTTTGTCTTAAGCAGACTTTAGCACTGATAAACCACAGTCACAGGATGCTGTAAAAAATTTTTATTAAGGAGGATTTTTAGAAGAGGTTTCAATTGCTAGACAAAAAGGCACATATGCCCTAAAAGAAAGATGGAGGCCTTGTTTGCCACAGAGAATGAAGAATCCCAATTCAGTCTTTTTATCAGACAATGGACTTGATTTAGAAAAGTTTGAGCGATCAGATTCAAGTAGTTAATAAGTTTGTTTGTTTCAAAGAGCTTTTACTGAGTATTTGCTGTACTTAGACAATACATTCAAAGTTGCATTTCTCCAAAAGGTACACTCCTTTGAAACATTAACAGCATGAGAAATACACTCCAAACTGTGAAACTTTTCCCTTCTATGTTGTTTGGGTTTTGTTTTTCTTCAGAAATGCTGAAATTAACTGTTCACACTCCACCCAGCAAAGCTGACAGACAGTAATACAACTTTCATAGCTTCTGTATATAACAGCAGTATTGGATGGAGCACCAAAACCTAAGGACTGAAGCAGTGGACACAAAGATCCAGTGACATATCTTTGTACGCCAAGAAAAGGTAGAATCTTTTGCCTCACAAACAACAGAATACACAAAAAAGGCAGCAAC